CCCCAAAACCCCAAAACCCCAAAACCCCAAAACCCCAAAACCCCTATTTTTTTAATCCTCATTGAAGCAAATTTATAATTGTTCTGGAGCTGGGTATGAAAACCTGATAGGGTATTCTTCTGTCTTGATCTTTCGCTTCTCATCTCTATAAATAAGTATAAGTTATTTACTCTGAAATTATGCTGAGTTGGGTCCACCAATATGGAGGAACGAATAGACATTCCTCTTTGTCAATTTCAGTAGTATGAGCATTCTTTGTTTTATTATCAAGCTGTAAATCCAGAGAGATTGGATTCAATAGAGATCCTTCAATCTCTGAAGTGAAGAAAGGTGGCAAAAGGGTAACATTGACTTTAGACCCAGTATCTTCGTGATTGAAATTACATAAGAACATGCGATCAATGTTTAAAACTACCTCATTCTCCTCTACAAACAAATTAAGCAATTACTTACTGTATTGGACAAGATGTTTCTCATTCATGGGTAAGTAACGGAGATATTCCATTCTTGAATACATATAATCCAAAATTTCTTCGCTCAGCCTTAAATTTACTTCTACAGAATTATTAAATAGAGTACTCTCGATGCTGTTGTCTTCTTCTTTTTCAAAGTCGAGAAAAAGTGGCATATCTGAGGAGACAATCAGCTCAAAGAATTCTTGGCTTGTGAGTTTAGCAGCTTGAGTGCTCTCAATATCCTTAGCTGTTTTTAAATAGTCCTATTATGATTGTGAAATAGAGTACTGCTATTAGTTCATTTTTGAGTTTGTCCAATAATCTTCCTATTTATTAATTCCTCTCTTTACTTTTGTTTTGTAGCGCAATTGAAGAATTATTAGTAAATACTAGGATATAGCCGATCAAGATCACTCCAAGTGCCATGATCGCCAGGAAAATATATTTCAGTGATGCAGGAAGGAATGAGAAGATACTTGGATTCTCCCTATGATCCTTTCTCCTCGTAATTTTGTGACTATAGAAGCAATATTATTCAAAAATTAAGAGAGTTATCTTTACTCATTCTTTTCATTCATAAAAAGGGGCTCATCTTCTTCATCTCTGACTTTAGACATCTCTTTGAGCTCTGGAAATATTAATAAGCTTAGATACCTTCATCGCTATTTTTCCTTCTTCTTGAAGACATATCCACTGACAAAAAATCAATAAATTATGTTATGAAAGGGGTTTTGGGGTTTTGGGGTTTTGGGGTTTTGGGGTTTTGGGG